AGCAAACAGCAAACAATCTCCAAATGATCTTTCATTACCACAAATAAAATAAAATGAAAAAGATAAACTTGACCTAAAAAGCATACCCCAGAGAAAAGCAAGAAAGTCAACATTTCTTTGGGTGCTGAATTGACATTCTGTGACTCTCACAGCCTTATCTCCTTTGTCTCCTAGCCTCCTGGCACGGTGGAAATTCCCCAGGAGGAGAGGAAATTAAGAACTGCAATAAAATAAAATGAAAAAGATAAACTTGACCTAAAAAGCATACCCCAGAGAAAAGCAAGAAAGTCAACATTTCTTTGGGTGCTGAATTGACATTCTGTGACTCTCACAGCCTTATCTCCTTTGTCTCCTAGCCTCCTGGCACGGTGGAAATTCCCCAGGAGGAGAGGAAATTAAGAACTGCACAGACGTAACAGTGAGCTTCAAAAAAAAAAAAAAAAAAAAAAGAAACAAACAAAAAAAAAAATTGAGAAGGTAGAGGAAAGCAGCACAGGTGATTTAGGTTTCTCTCCTGAAAAAGAAATGCATGTGCTGGACAACCAAGATATGTTCAGACCTGGGTGGAGCTGACAGTGTCTTTCCTTGCAGGAGAAACGGTTACTGTATTCCTTTCACCTAGCAACAACCAAAGAGAGCGACACAAACCAACAGAAAGTCTAATGTCAGCCTTGTGTGCATGTGTGTTTTTAAAAATTTTATCTTATTTATTTTTTTGCGGCTGGTCAGTATAGGGACCCAAATCCGGGACCTTGAAGAAAAATTTTAAAAAAAAAAAAAAAAAAAATTTTTTTTTAAAAGAATGACTGGTAAGGGGATCTTAACCCTTGACTTGGTGTTGTCTGCACCACGCTCTCCCAAGTGAGCAAACAGGCCATCCCTATGTAGGGATCTGAACCCATGGCGTTGGTGTTATCAGCACCACAGTCTCCCAAGTGAGCCACAGGGTGGCCCCTTTTTTAAAAAAAATTATTGATGGCTGGCCAGTATGAATTCTTGACCTTGGTGTTATCAGCACCATGCTCTAACCAAATAAGTCAGCTGTCCAGCCCCTACTGTCAGTCTCAAAACCAGGAGGTGGCCTGGAAATTTCACTTTCTAGTCACTCAGTGGTATTTCTTTTTATCAACTCATCAACATAACAATGGCATTAAAAACCATGTTCCCTTTCTTTGCTTACAGATAGTTCTTCACTACAAGCAGGAGGAAATAATATTTTGTAGCTAATCCAGTGTCATATCTGATTCCTTTGATTTCTTAATTCCACTGGGAAAGTAGGCTTTCAACTTTCAAATGACTCGTTCCTGTTAATCGCTACTCCCTACTTAACTTGACTTTTTCTTAGATATAATTTTCCAGAGGATACAAAATTACATTGCAAATGTCTGATGACTTTTTCTCTTTCACAAACTGGTCTCTCCTGCCCCAACTACCCTTTTAACTCTGCCTAGACTTCATCTCACCCCGGTTGAACATTTATTATACACAGCCATAGTATATAAAGCCATGTATCAAGTCCTGAGACAGTTGCACAAAATTAAAAAGACCCTTGCTTTTAGGATGTTTATAATTAAGATGAAAGAAAACACACACACACCATTAACTGCACCTAGCAGGAAGGAAAATGGGGTGGGGAAAGAACTTTCTAACAGTAAAGGAAATAGCATAATTGTGAACTTTTGTGTGGTTTTCATAAAGACATTCAGTCTTCTCGCCTTGTTAAAATGATCTTGGTATGATAAATTAAAACGGCAAAAGGTACAATATAAAGGGGAAAAATCCCCACGCAACAATTAACAACATGATTCCTCTTTATCAGAAGAAGCCAGTTCTCCATCTGTCTCGTCCTGACGTGGCCCTCGTTCCTCATTAACACCAAGGAGGCTCCTGGAGAGCATTCAGATAGCCTGGCCAGCAACAGGCTGCTTAAAAGGATGCAGAGTGACAGTATCTCCTCCAACCCAGGCATGATCTATTACAGTGTGTGTCTCACATGCCCCGCAGCCCTGACACCAGAAGTGCCAGCTAAAGCAAACAAATATGGCTGAAGTAGCAGGAATACTAAAAAGCAAGCGAAGAACTTCTCATCACCCAGGAACCCGTGCTGTATTCTGGCTTAGACATGGAAAGAAACGACTCCCCTCCCCTCCCAGCCAGCTCTTCTACAGTTATCTTCAATTCAGAGTAAAGAAGAGATGAGACGAGGAGACGCTGGCAGAAGATCGGCACAGTGGAAGTGACCTGGACAAGCAAACGAACACAGACCAAGACGCTTCAGAGAAATCAGACTACGGGCGAGGGAGAGAGTGCTTTACATGCAGCACCCAGGACTGGCAGGGGGCAGAGGGATGCGGGTGCTGTGCTTTGCTCAGACAATGGTATTCTTTGTCTAGCTGACATCGCTTGCCTGCAGATAGCATCAGCCAGACAGAACATGGAAAATGATCATATGCTTTTGACCCCACTGAGAATTACATAGTCGTCCCCTGATATCCGTGTGGAATTGATTCTACGACCCCTGCAGATACCAAAACCTATGGATGTTTGTCCTTCATATAAAATGATGTCATATTTGCATATAACCAAGGCACATCCTCCTATATACTTTAAATCATCTCTAGATAACGTCTAATACCTAATACAATGTAAATACTATGTAAATAGCAGTTATACTGTATTGTTTATGGAATAATGACAAGAAAAAAAGTCTATACGTGTTCAGTACAGACACAACCATCCGCTTTTTTCCCAAATATTTTTGATTTGCAGTTGACTGAATCCAGGGATGCGGAACCCATGGATATGGAGGGCCAACTGCATTTCAGAAAGAATGATCTTTTCTTCCATGTGGAGCCAAATAAAGCAAAAACTGAACTTCAGATACCTGGAGTTTTCTTTGAGACTTATGGCTCACCCATGTCTGTAAAGCATGGCAGCATTTGCATACTAGGAGACTCGACAATTTCCCTGGTATAAATTCAGCATCTTGAGGGTCAAGAATAATAAAACGCTTTGGTCCTACCCTAACACAAACTCAGCACAAAGGTTCCCACTGTTTTCTGTTCCAATTTAGACAATCTATAACATTCACTCCTCAGATAACAGCATATGTATGAAAAAAAATAAACTTATGCCCAATGAGCAAGTATATTAATCTCTACCTCTCTCAGTCTTTAGAAAAAGGCACACACTGGTGCTTCTCAACACTGAGTTTCCTGGGCCCCATCTATGCACCCAATTTGACCCACAAATACCGAGTGCCTACTGTGTGACTGCTCTGTGCTAGACACCGAGATGCAACCGTGAACAAATCACAGTCCTGGTCTCCATGCAACTTACAGTCTGGTGGGAAGACACCTAGACCAGGTGTGCTGAGCATTATAAAGATAAATGCAGGGTGCACTGGAAATGCCTAATGGGGAAGAATTGGGGCTCTTGAGGTTTCCCTGAAGAAGTGAAATTTAAGCTGAGGTACAGGTATGGGTTAGTCAAAGTCAGGGTGGGTATTCCAGGCAGAGGGAAGCATGTACTAAGGAAAAGTCAGAATGACAGATTCAAGGAACTGAAAAACAGGCCTATTTGGCTGAAGGGTAGGGAGTAAGGGGAGAGTGGGGTGAGAGGAGAAATGTAGGGGTCAGGTTCTAGAAAGTGTTATTGGACACGATAAAGATTTTTGACAAATTTCTTTATTGAGTAAATTACCTGGACTCAATCTTCACTTTAGACCAGGTACTTAAAATGACTAGAATGATCACAAGCATCTGACTCGTGGACTGGCTCCATAAAAGGAGAGGCTACTTGGTCAGACACAGATCTCCTAGGAGGCAAGTATTCCAGTAGTAACTGTCCTCAGATCTGAATGGACAAGTCTGTAGGACCACCATTTGCTACGCACATGTGAGAATCAACACTATGATAAGCAGGTTACCAAGCAGACCTTCTTGTAGCTGAACACACACATATACCCATAAGAAACAAAGCTAAACTCACCCATAATTGGGTTCAATTCCTACCAACTCTAAATTTAGAAAGAAAACAGTCTCTATTACCTTTAAAACTGAATATGGAATAGGAGTTCCTTAAAAAGTAATTACATTAAATGAAGCCTAGACAGACATTCAAATAGCTAAATGTCTGTGTTCCCAGCCCAGTACTTGTCACTGGATTCACTAAATTTATATTGTAATTTCTGTACTGTGTATACAGGGACTTCTCCAATAACCAGATAGGGATTCAGTTACAGCATCCAAGACAGCACAAACTACGGGAGACAGCAAAAACTACAGTAAAATGAATCCCTAGAGGGGGGAACATCACAGGTGTGAGTTTTCAGTCTCAAAAGAGCACAAGAGACACGCATGAAAAAGGTCAGTGCTGTGTTGGAGGAGGCAACTATCCAAGACTGCAGCAACTGAGGCCACAGCAAAAACTACAGTAAAATGAATCCCTAGAGGGGGGAACATCACAGGTGTGAGTTTTCAATCTCAAAAGAGCACAAGAGACACGCATGAAAAAGGTCAGTGCTGTGTTGGAGGAGGCAACTATCCAAGACTGCAGCAACTGAGGCCGAAGGGCAAATGACAGTTTTAGACAATAGCAAATAAAATCTGCCCGGTGCATCTATTTTCCTTTAAGAAAAAGGTAGCAGAGGCAAGTAGAGTCATTTTGTTGTGGAAAGAATTTCTCAGCTCTAATTACTCCCGATAGCTGTAATTTACAAGTTTTTGGTGGATAGAAATCACCGAAATTCACACATTTTCAGACCAACAGCTGCCACTATTAGTGAGCAAACTGCCAAGTCTTCTGCATGGTTGGAGCCGGCAATCTGTGGCCCAGCCAGGTGACAAGCCACAAGTGCAAAGAGATCGCCACACCAAGAGGTCCTTGGTATTCCCACTCCACGTGGTATGGCCACAGGACAAACTGTCAAGAGACAAAAACTTACAACCACCATTACAGAAATATTTCAACCTTCACATGGAGTACAGAGTGATACATACCGTACAAAGAAGGACACCTCTTTTGGAATGTGAGAATTCCTGAAATACTGCTGTTCTTTCCTACAAAAAGAAGGAAAAGTAGGGCCTTTCAACTCTTGAGGTAAATTCCAGCAAAGTAGGCTTAGATTTCTGTAACTTCCAATTTCTTACTGCTACAGCTATTTTAGGCACAGAGAGGTTTGTCAGGGAAGAGGAAGAAGTAAATTCTTCACGGCTTCTGAGATGACCCTGTACTTGCAGGACTAGCCTTCTGAAAATATAGAAAAGTAGCGGAACTTTCAGAGTAGTACATTTCAATAAGATAATGTCAGGGTGGGCACATCCTTCAGACCTAACAGGAGCAGGGAAGGCCAATGTAGAATAATGAACCGTCCCTACAAGTCCATTGTTTAAAAACTAATTTTAAAAAAGATTAAACGCTTATAAAAATTATATATTTTAATGGTAGAAAAATTATATTTAAGTTAAAGGAAGAAACTAAAGTCATCCCACCACTTGAGGCAAACTACCACCACCAGTAACACCTTGATGTTTCCTGAATCCCCTTTATAAGCACAACATAACCAAATATGTGGCTTCTAAAAAATGGCATCCTACTATTTATACTATGAACATGTTCTTATCATGTATCAATAGAATGTGGACACCTTTTCATGCCAATAAATATCCAAAGACCACATCATTTGGCTGAATGGATGTACCACCATCTATGTGACCCTTATCCTATTACTGGTAATTAAGGTTGTCTCTGTCTCCAATTTTTTAACATTACAATCAATGCTGTGATAAACATCTTTGTAGATAAGCTGTTGTACACTTTCTTGATTAGTCCCTTGGGTTCAATTCCAAAAAACAGACTTGCTGGACCAAAAGGTGACTACACTAATGCTTTCAGTGTGAACGTGTAAGGGCACCCTCTGAGTGTGTTTAAGTCACAGTGCTCTAAGCACTTGAAACCTGGCCACATCCATCTGTCAACAACAAATAAAAAGTAATGTAGCCAAATTACTAAAAATTTGGAAAAATGAAAAAAGTGAAGTCTCTCCTTTGGCTCTAGCACAACCACCATGCACTGTGATGTGCGTCCTCCTGGTCTCTCACATGCATGTATTTTTGTCATAAAGCTGGAACCCTGGGCACACCTCACTTAGTATAGTTGACCCTTATACAACGTGGGAAGTCAGGGGTGCAGACCCCCACACCCGGCTTGCACAAGAGAAAATCCACATATAACTTTCCTCTGGGGCGCTGTGTGCCAGGAGAGGGGGCAGGCAGCTCCTTGTTACTTAAGAAGTAGTTGACTGCTTAACTACTTCACTACTAATAGCCTGCCGAACAGTAAGCTACTTAACTGTTTGGAGAGGTATGCATTCATAACATACCTAACCAGAAATTTTCTAATATATTTATCAAAAAAAATCCCACTTAAAAGTGGACTTGGACAGTTCAAACCCGTGTTGTTCAAGGGTTTTCTGACCGTTGTATAAAGACATAAAAAACAACCAATGTTTATTGAGCACTTACTGTGTACAAGACACAGGTCTAAGCACTTTACATGTCTGAACTTACCTAATCCTCATTAACAACCCGACGAGTAGATACTATCATCATCCTCATTTTCCAGCCAAAGAAACTGAAGCACAGAGAAGTTAAGTAACCTGCCCAAGGGACACCCACACACAGTAAAGAGCTAAAATGATATTCGAACTCAGGGAGTTTGTGTTCCAGAGTCAGTGCTTAGAGCCTCAAAAGGAAGATGCACTTGTCCAGTTTTCTACACAGTCTTTGTAAGGATCAGTTTTAATGGTTGCATTGCAGAATAAAAATCAGAAAAAGTCAGAGGAGTTCATAAAAGCCTGTGAAACATCTTAAAAACTGAACACAATGTATTCAGATTTGGGGTAAGGAAAAAAACGACCAAATTCGTGGACTCTGATCACAACAACCCTGCAGCATCTGCTTCAAACAGTAACCTCTCTCTAATGCTTAATCCACTTATTTAGAATCATGTCGGTCATCTAGGGAAACCACACTAAGGTCTTGTTGGGCAGTGGCCGGTGTAACAAGCCAGGAAGATGTAACTAAAACCGTTTTAGCTTAGTCAGGAACAAGACGTTTAACCCTAATACTTAGAAAACGAAAGGCAAAGAAACCACTTATGTTCTTCTTCCTATCTCATCAGGAGGCTATGGAGGCTAAATATTTAATAGTAAATGACAGAGCCAGGACTAGAACACAAGCAGTTCATACCCAGACAACATGGCTATAAACACCATGCCAGACTACTACCCTGTCAGAGAAAGTCTCTATATAATTTAACTATAGAGTCTTCTGCATGACGTATTAAAATTCCTAGATTTCTCTGAGTCCATATCCAGCTCCTTCATCACCCTCAGACCTACCCTGCAGAATGCCTCCAGTGAAAACAGACCCAGAAGACTAGTAAACTTAAGTATAAAACAAAAACAAAACCCCAAACCATAAACGGTATTAAGAATAAAACAAATAAGCTTGATAGAATCAGGGATCCTGAAGGTAAAAACCAACAGCTCCTAAAATTTACAATGGCTAGAATATTTGGGGACTTCAATATAATCTTGTGGTAAATAAGCTGTGCCCTTGAGTGACCTTGAGCAAGATCACTTTTTTAGGACTCTGTGTCCTTAATTATCAAAATCAAAAAGCAAAAACACAAAGAGGGGCTGGACTTGTCTAGGATCATGTCAGACCTTTAATGTCTCTTTTGGCTCTAAAAATGTTATGATTTTTTCAAGTTGGTTCTAGTCAGATCTCACTGATTTCTAGTTTTCTTTCACTCTTTCTTATTTTCTAAGCAGCTGGTAACCTCTCTTCTAGGACAAGATGGCTCCTATTTCCACACCCTGTTCTTCCTTTCTTTCCCAATTCCAGTGAGTACATCCCACTCCCATACTCTCTCCGACTCCTGGAACAGTTGGCCTAGTTAAGACAGAGAAATAAGACTTACAGAGCTAAGTACCAAAAATAAGGGAAATGTGATACTCTTCTTCCTGACCACAAATCTTACTCTGTGCTGAGAAGGGCGTGGAGCCCAAAACCCCTCTGCGACACAGTACCCTCTCCCAACCAAAAGTGTTCAGAGTGCAGCGCTGTGTCTTGTTGACAATGACAGCAGCCGTGCTCAGCAGTACCATATGGGATCCACAATTTAGCTCCATTAATGCTCTTAATTTGAAGACATCAAGCCCTAATTACACACTGGGTACTAAAAAGGCAAAACCCTTCCCTGGTGCCAGCTACTTAGTGGTACTCGGTTGCCTTAACAGCTGGTAGAGGTAGATTCAGGCCAAGCCGGGTCCGTGAGCTCTCTCAGGTGGAAGAGACCAGCTCCGGAGCAAAAGCCAGTGGGAACAATGAACTCCCCTACCCGCAACAACCCAGCAGCCTAAGTCACTTCTGGTTCCAGTGGGCCGCCCGTTTTCAGCTCCCTCTTCCCCACCCCGGGGCGAGGGCGGTGCTCACCTCCTGCTCCATGTTGCCATGCAGCCGCAGGAATTTTAATCGCGAGGAGGCAGATGGTGAGGACCCTGATGCCGGGGCCCCTGTGCTGCTCAGCAAGGTCTCAAGGAAGAGATTGTAGTGGAACTCCACCAGCTCGCAACTTGAGAAAAAGACAATCGTCTTCTGGTCTTTCTCAAACTACATTGATACAAAGGGGGAAAAATAACCATGTGTTTTTAAGATTAAGGTGACACTAAAATGAGTATTTCTCTAAAATAGTCATGTTGGCCCCAATTTGGAAACAGAGGTAACAGTTAAGGTGACACTAAAATGAGTATTTCTCTAAAATAGTCATGTTGGCCCCAATTTGGAAACAAAGGTAACAGCTTTAAATTATTAAAATATAAATAAAATAAAAACCAAAAAACACTGGTACTCCACTCTACAAAGAATGTAGGAAAAAAAATGACATTGCTATAACCTGAAAGAGCAGTCCGTATCAGAACAACGAGCACACTTCCGAGTGCGGCTGTCCTCGGCTCTGTTCCTTTCGTTCGTTCAGGGCTTGCCACAAATACCAGCTGAGACCCTACGTATGCAGTAAATCCTAAAGCCTCGCTGCCAAGCCCTTCCACCTACTATTTTCCCATACCCTGGAGAAAATCATCACGTGAACCTAGTAAATAAATACACAAATGCTATGATTCTTTAGGAAACATGAGCATAAGCTCCTATTTTGCCTCACATCCAGCATGTTTCTACCACCAGCACGTTCTTAGTATCAGTCCCAGGAAAGACATTTAAGGCAGATTTCAAGGTGAACATCATGGCTATCACTGGCTTCTGATTTTTTACCACAATCCTAGAACCACTGACTGAAAGGATATATATGAAAGTCTGCCTCCATGAAACCTTTGTCTTTTTTTGATGTCTCAACTCATTGTTATCAGTGCCTGACATAAATACAATAGGCCTTTCTTCCCTGGATCAAGCCAGGTCTAGTCCACAGTCCTACCTTGCATTTCTGAAGGATGAAGGCCGCTAGAGTGACGAGTCTCAGTTTGCTAGGAACCAATGCCACATACTGAGTGAGACTCTCTGGTATTGCAAAGCTGTCCCGCTTGTCGCTAGTTTGCGGAGAAGAGACTTCTTGGATCACAGTGCCCTTTGGGTTAAACTGGTCATGGCTTTCGTCCAGGACAGAAATACTGACTGGATTGTGTAAACTGATATCGGCTAGCCATGCTACACCTTGGATAAAAAGTGAAAAGAACAAAGCAGACAATACACACACCCCATGAAACTAGTAATGTATGCAAACCCCCATGCAGCACCCATCCAGGTTTACTAAGAAAGTCCCTGTGGGTATCACCAAGGCCCAGCACTGATCAGCCCTATCTCCAATTTGGTGGGGCAGACTCACCAATCCTTCACACAATTGAACAACTGATCCATACCAGGGTTTTATAAACTCTCATCTAAGGAAAACCATCCAAAAGGATATTAATGGATGTGTACACCCATGCCCACCCCCCAAAAGGGTTCTCAAGCAAATTTCCAAAAGGATTTAAAAGGTTTCACAGGCTTCTTTGCTACAGGCCTTCTCAGGGCCTTTATTGTGTTAACATGCACCATGAATCTCCAAGAAAGTATGGGGCATGTCCCAAACTTTTTTGACCACAGAATCCCTTTTTCACGGATTATCACTCAAAATTAATGTTACTTAGAATATACTTTGAGAACTGTTGATGGGTCACATGAATGGCATCTGGTGTGTGCATATCATAATGTGGCCTAGTAAATCAAGGAAACCAGACTAAGAACATGAAAGCTATATTGTTGTTTGGACAATGACTCATTATGCAGGCTGATTCTGGTGTGGTGATGCAACTTTTTTCCAAGTCTCAATGCTCCTGTCTTGCTAAGAATTTCCATCTCATCAGTAGGGAAGACAGAAAGGAGCTTCCAGAATATATATTTTTACGGTCAATATCTCTTTCAGAGAAAGGCAAGATGATCACACTAAAAATGCACTTGAATAAAACGTCACCATCTTCAGAGCAAGGCCCTGCTCTCCATGGGCTGCAATTGCAATAAGAACCTCACAAAACCCCTGGGTCAGTGGCAGTCAGCCCTTCCTCCTCCTCTGCACCAGCAGTGTTCTCTTCACCTGAGATGACTTGGGACACGGGACCTACCCTTTCTCCCTTTCCCTGTGCCAGATCAGTCTTGGATGGGTGGAAGGGGGAAGCTGGGGATACAGAGTTTGAAAAACTATATGTATGAGGGTACTTCAAAAAGTTCATGGAAAGATTTGTATTATCTTTTAATTCTATTTTTCCATGAACCTCTTGAAGTACCCTCGTATATAGTCCTCTAGGGACATTTTCCTCCCCCTTCGGTCCCCGAGGTTGGGAATCACTGCTGGAAAATGACCTGGTAACATCTAGGTCCTTCCTCTTCACTAAGAACAAAGACGGTAACTTCTTTTCAACTCACCTTCTGTGAGTGTCGCTGACAGCAAGACATTCTGTCGTTTCTGGCATTCGGCGTTTACAGCATTGAGTATGACTGTGAGATCCTTTTCAAAACCCAAATCCAAGATTCTGTGGTTACAAGAGAAGGAATTTTAATCTATGTGAAGAGTAAATGTGATACTAAAGGGCTGCAGATGTTGCAAAGACAACGGCAGAAACAGTTCTTTCCTTTTACCTTTCCTGCTTCCTGAACGAGGCTTACCTGTCTGCTTCGTCCAAAACCAGCCACTGTATCCGACTAAAATGAATGTTCTTTGTGGATTTTATGTGATCCACCAGACGTCCAGGAGTTGAGATAAGGATATTTATTCCTTTGCGGAGTCTGTTTAAAATTATATATCATACGAGAAAGTAAATCAAACAGGGCTCTATCAATAGAAAACACAGGAAAAAGGCAGAGACAGATTCATCTCATGTAGAGCACAAATGTGCCACAGCCTGAAATCGTGAGAAAACATAACGACAAGTGGATAAAGAGATATACTTGAGTTTTTTCCTCTCCTATGGAATATTATTGCTAAGATCTGAAATCATATTAATATCATAAAACCTTAACTTTGAAAGGAATCTTCATTACATAATCCAATACTCTATCTGATTCATACATCCATTCTAGAACATTCCAGATAGATGGTTATCTAGCTGTTCTTGGTGGTTTCTGTGCCAGGGAACTTATTACCTGAACGAGTTATACCATGACAATGTGCTCTAATTGCTGGACTGTTCCTTCTTATATAAGGGTATTTCAAAAAGTTAATGGAAAGATTTGTTTTATCTTTCAATTCTATTTCTTTCTTTTTTTTTTTTTTCTTTTTGTCTTTTTTCGTGTCCGGCAACGGATCGCAACCCTCAGCGTCGCGCCCGTACCGGACCGGGACCGGCAACGGGATCGCAACCCTCGGTGTTGCGTCCGCACCTCGCTCAGCCAGTGAGCAGGAACCGGTCTGTATGTGGGATCCGAACCCTCGGCGGGAGCGCCGCCGCGCTCCCAAGCGGTGCGCTGTAGCAGTGCGCCACCGGGCCGGCCCTCAATTCTATTTCTTCACTAACTTTTTGAAGTACTGCCATACTGAATGAACGCTTTTTGTAAGTTCCATACAATGGGGCTAAGCTTTGCCCTGTAGATTATATATTTCTTACTCCCCAAACAACTGCTATTCCATAATTCCACAGTAATAAAAGTCTCCAATTTTTATCTGGGTATATTTTCCAGCTTTCCTTGCAGTTAAGAATGGCCACGTACCTATGTTCTAGCAATAGGATAAAAGAATGAAGGGTGTATGCAAATCACACATGTAAGTACCTTATGAGAGGAGGTATAATCATCTTTGCTCCTGCTAGCAGGAAACTAGATGTAATGACTGGAGCTCCAGCAACTATTTCAGACTATGAGGTAACCTTAAAAATAGAAGCTTCCCATAGTGTCATAAAATGATCAAAGGAGCCTGGGTCCTAACGGCACCATGCCAGTCCTGGGCCAGCTCCATCCAATTTCTTAAATGTAAAAGAAAAATATAATTTCTATACTGCTTGTGCCATGGCTATTTGTTGTCATTACAGCTGAATCTAATCCTAAACAATACTTTTAGGTTTCAAGTATATATATTTACTCCTCAGTTATGCATGCATAGTTGCATGTGACTACTAATTATCAAGCTATAGTACAATTAAAATGTTTTTAAAAGAATGCAGACAATTTGGGATTTATTTGTAGCAACAATTTTCTACTGACACCCATGATGAGTTCTAGCATAGAATTAGGAATCAACGTATTTGAATGTAAAAAGCAAGTTGCAAAGCATTATGTAAGTTTATAATCGTGTTTCTGCAAAACCAAACAACAAAACCCCAAACTCCCAATGTACACAATAGGAGTCACACCTAGGAGGACATGTACTAAACAAGGGGGACTGCAGGGCACTGGGTGGATGAGAGTTAAGAAGGTAATGAGTACTGTCACTAACCACATCAGAAGGGAACCTGTTTGTATAAGTTCATCAATATTTTAAAAACCAGCACCGTCTATTGGTGACTGCTCCCCACTGACTCAATCTGTCCCTATGCACTGGGACTAGGAAACAAAGTCTGAGACAGGCTTTCTCCAAATTTAGAAGGACCAAGTCTTATTGAATAGGAAGGCAGGACACACAGATTCAAAATGGAATTAACAACAAACCAACCTCTTCCTACCTGGCTTTTTCTGATTTTCTCTTCTCTCCTCCCATTAATACTCCAGGCACAATCCAGGTAAATGGCTATCGAAAGACAAAAGACCAAAATCAATACAAAGCCTCCTTGACTGAAAATACAGTGACTGATTCTAAATTTCTTTTCCTTAAACCAAGTTAGGAGGGAGGGCTCAGGCTTCTCATTGTGTGAGGTGTTATTAAGCAGACACAATTCCTAGGCATTGCCATACCCATGGTTACTATCAGCAGCAACCTGAATTATAGCTACATAACTAGCTTCCAACACTGTGAGAGAGAACCGTGAGCTTTTTAAATGATTCAAGTAGCTTCCCTGCCTTTCCCCATGGAGCTTGAATTGAAAACACATTTCAGTAAGTCTCCTGCCTGTTTTCTTGGTTAAGATAAAACCTAAGCAACACCTTTCCCTATTCCCCACCTCTGATAAAAGAAAGATCAATTCATGACTCATTTGGTGGGCTGGCAGGCTTTGACTCTGAAGCCTTCTCTCTCTTCTTTCCTAACCCCTATTTGCAGGTTTTTAAGTTGCTTTCCACTGGATCACCTTAAGGTGTACCTGTGAATCTCTGTACGTGGCTTGCTACTTACTATGATGAACAGATTATAGGACTTTAAGGGCAAGGAAACACTGCAGCTAATAGTAAGGTTTAGATCAGTAAAAACCTACAAACAACCTAGAGAAAACAGACATCCACGCAAGAAGAAAAAAAGAGTAATTCCTATCTCTTTGAAAAAAAGGAAGACTATGGTATATTAATCTCTCCTCAAAAAGTTAGAAAAAAACATAAAACTGCACTCACGGTTTGCCTTACCTTAAGCAGTTTCTGGACAATGTCAAAGCTTTGTAGAGCCAGCTGTAAATATTAAAAAGTTATAGATAATGAGAAGGATCCCTTCTTCCTTTTTTCATTTTAAGACAATTGAAAATGATCAGGATCCAAACTCGAACCTCAAGTTAAGACTTAAGAAAAAATATCCTGTACACAGAATCTACACTGAAAATATACCTTGTTCTTAGACTGGTTCTGCAACCTGTCAGTTTGGGGAATGAGGGTAAAGACATCACATCTATTTCTTGGACATACACAAAAATAGTGTTTTGTGCTCCCTCTGCTGGCTCATATTTCCCAAGTGCCACACAGATAAGATTCTGCCACAGTATCTGAAGACTGGGAAGTGGTCATTCGCCGAGTTTATAAAAACAAAACCATCAAGCCCAGTGGAAAACAGAGAAAGTGAAAATTAACATAGGTTATAACCATTAAGAGCCATCAAAGAATTCTCTATCCTGTTATCCAAGGAGATATATATATATATATACAGATTCCACATACTTAGTATTCATGAAGCATTCTAGGGAAGCAGCAAGTTTGCTGCTGTAAAAATTTAAAGAGCTTCTGTGCCTGCTCTTTCGCTGGACTGGGCTGATAGGACACTGCAGGCTGTATAAAACCTCCATCTACACGATCAATTTTCTGTGAGGAAGTGATTAGCATTTAATATAGAAAACAGACACCCTAACCTGAAATTGCCTCTGTAGGCAAATAAAATAGATCAGATAGAAGAGATTTCCACTAAGAAAGAAGAAAAATATTGAGAAGCTTAACTTTTAGGAACAAGTAAAATTTTTAGTAGCAGTGGCTTCTTTAAAAGAAAAACAACAAAACAGGTTATTTTCCAAACCAACTGCTTTTGTTTTTGAATTAAATTGTTAAAAAAAAAATTGCAAAAATGTGATTCTTTTCATCCTTTTCAAAAGAACAGAAATTTAGCAGTGTCATTAGTTTTTAGACAACAGAGAAATGCTTTTCTGGACTTAACATATGATTTTCAGAATACCTGAATTTCTGTTCTTGACAGGAACCAAAAGGATGATTCCTTGGCAAAGGAAGAGGGTGTGCAGTGGTTTGTGCAGTAGGGAGTAAAATGATAGAACCACTTTAAAATTCAACAGGATGCCACTGAAAGTATATGCTTAAAATCTGCTCTGAAAGTGAGCTCGCTTACCTCTCTCGTTGGCACTAGTACCAAAGCATAGGGGCCATCACTGCGCTGTTGACACAAAGAAAAGAAATGCCATGACTAGGATGAAGAAAGGTCACAGACTCCAGAAGGACAGCACTCAAGGGTGGCTAGTTGTAAAACATCAGAAGCATTCTCACTGAAGAAAGGGACAACACAAGAATGCCCATTAACCCCATTATTACAGAACACTGTTCTAGCGGTCCTGGCCCATGAAATCAGACAAGAGAAAGAAATATGATGCATAAAATTGAAAAGTAGGAGGTAAAATTATCATTATTAGCAGATGATGTTATTTTATCCTAGGGAAAAAACCTTAAGAGAATCAATTGAAAATCTATTGCAAACAAGATAATTCAGTCAAGCAGCTGAATGAAAAATTAATGTATAAAAATCGATAGCCTTCGAATATAGAAATATACAATGGAAAGAAAAAAATCACACTTATAGCAACAAAAAAGACAACAAGAATAAGGTTATCAAAAAAATATACAAAATCTATGGCCGGCCCGGTGGCGCACTGGATAGTGCGCCGCTTGGGAAGCGCGGCGGCGCTCCCGTCCGAGGGTTTGGATCCCACGTACAGACCGGCTCCCGCTCACTGGCTGAGCGAGGCGCGGGAGCAACGCTGAGGCTTGCGATCCCCCCGCCCGCCCCCCCGCCCGGGCGGGGG